ATATATATATATATATATATATATGGCGATTCAATCTTCGAATAAAATTCTCTCTCTATGGCAATTTTTTCTATAAAATTTTCTTCGTACGTGAACCGTGATATTCCCTGAGGAAAATCGGCCTGAAGCGGTTGCGGTGACGCGAACATTATCGAGAAACGAGATCAAGTTCGCGGCCAACGATGGAGATGCCAACACGAGCCGATCGGCTCGTGCTGGAACACGTGAAATAATTACCGGTATCAATGTCAGCGCGTAATTGTCGGTTATCGCAATAACGCGCAGCGCCGCACGGCTAAAATAATGATCGGCCGTTGTTGCGACGGCTCAAGAAAGACGGGACGTTTCCGTGTACATCTAGCCGTTGATGGAAAGATTGAAGGAAGACAGCGAGATAAAGACACGAAATGAAATAAAGTTACGCTCAGGTAAAGGAAAGAGAAAGAGTATAGGAGGAAGGGGGGAGAGAGAGAGAGAGAGAGAACACGGGTGAAAGAAGGAGACACGATAGACTGTGATTTCACGGTTGAGACGTGCGCGAGCACGAGGATTCACAGTCACGCTTCGTGATTTCGCTTCTTGATCCGCGCGAGAAAAAGAAACGGAAAGCTTTATTTTCGCTCTCGCGCCGAAACTGGTTATCCGCGTCCGGACGTTACAGCGGTTTACGTTGACCTCGCGAGCGGCTGCGTGTAGTAACGGTACGCGTTAATTGAATCCTGGCGCAGGAGAGACCAACTGCGCGAAAATGAAAAATGCCAGGAAAAGCTGCTTTTCAGGATATCTCGCGGTATTTTAACCTCACCGCGCCGTGGTTTCGCGTTCTTACGTGCCTCTCTCGCGTGATCCTCGCGTCCTGCGAGAATAGCTTTCCTAGTGTCGGGAAGAACGTTAGTCCTCGCGCCGCGTCGTTAGGCCGCGAACAGATGAGCCACTTTGTGTGACGCCGCAGAGAAACGCTACACACCTGTACAAACGGGCTACTTTTGTGGTGCCACAAAGAGGTGCGACTTTGTGGCACCACAGAGGAACGCTGCAGAATGATATAATAGTACAAATCTCTGTCACACAAGACCGGAGCAACGCGGGACCCACAAGATCTCATAGATTGCACTGAAACTTTATGTCTCGTGTTCTTTTGGTCTTGTGACAGATTTGTGCTTTTATACACACGTTTCACATTTCACGGTGCCACAAAGTCGCATGTCTGTACAAAGTAGCTCGTCTGTTCGAATCCTTAAAATAAAAACACCAATGCCTGGACACTAATTGGCACCAATGGACATTGACACCTAACTCTGAACATTCTTATTGTTTTAGTGTTCAAATATTTAAATTTTCAACATAGAGAGAGGGAAGATATACATTGAATAAATATATATACCATATCTTACGCTAATAGTTCAAATATTTAAAACACAGTAAGAATGTCTAGAGTTAGGTGCAGGTGTTATTAGATGTCCTGGCATTGGTACTTATATCTTAAGAACCGATGTCACGCAATCATTATCGTAACACAGCCGTTCTCCAGATTGCTATCCGCCGCGTTTGAGTAACAGTATTAAATCGAGCATATTACGAGTCGCAGAGAAAGAGATCGCATGCGATCGTTAGCGCTTGGTTATACAATTTTAACGACATCTGACTCTAGTTTCATTAGCTGTCGCCGACTGATGTAATTAAAAGTATCGTGCGCGCGCGCGGTCACCTTTCACCGCGTTTAGAGAATCGCCACTTGTTCCCGACGCTCAATCGTCATCGTAATTTCGCAGGGCTCACGCAGGTATAAATAGCGATTCTAATTGAATGCAAACGGACACGCGGGAACAGTTATCTCTCGTCGCGCGTTTTCTCCTCCTCGTCTCATCCGCGATTGCCAGCGAGAATCGCGTGTAGAGCGGAGAATACGTCTTATCGCTGTGCGATCGCGTCTTGAGACACCCAAAACTTCGCACGGTGACGACGGAAAAACGGCGGAAAAGCCGGGAGAAAATCACGCAGGAGAACGAATCCTAAGCCTTTCCCGGAATAGCGCGGCGAAACAATGGCGATGGCGATCTCTTATCGGAGATCTTTGCACAACAGTGGAGAGAAAAAAAGAGAGAGAGAGAGAGAAAGCGAAGCCGGCTTGTAATTAACAATTAAAAAAGTACTCCATTAACATGATAATCACGTGAACGATACTTTTGCGCTGCCAGCCCGAAATTTATACGAGATATCGTTCGCGCTCCTCGCCGCATCCCTTGCCGATTAATTTGCGAGTAATTTATATGTGACGCAAGAATGAATTGCTGTCGATGTAATAAATTCATCAGTCGACCGCACGACACAATCGCGTAAAACTTGGCGATATCACGTGGCCACGCGAATTCCGCCGAACTCTCTCACACAAGGCGGCTAGCCCTCTCCTCCCTCCCTAATTCGGAGAGTAAATAAATTTGTCAACTCACCTTGACACAGAAGTAATTTACTCTGCGATCGATGCCAGCTTCCCGTTGGTCTGAAACACAAAACAGGACGAAATTACGCCGAGTTCTCGCCACGGTTAACAACGCGCGCGCGCGGACTCCACGAGAGACGGAAGCGGCGCACGCCAAACTCATTTTCGGGAGAGACGCAGCGCGTCCTAAGTGAAAATTGCGATTTCTACGACAAAACAACGCGGCACTACCTTTGTTTACACGGCATAGTCGCTCGCTCCGACGTTGTCCGCGCGAAACGCTATTGATTCGGATGTGTCCTCGCGCGATGTAGGACACACACATTCGCGTCGTTTATTATGTCTTGTTGCAAAATGTAACGATTCTCGCGGGTCCTCGATAATGAAAATCAGATCAAGAGTACCTTTACCTTCGTGTCTCATTGCAAAATACAGTTCACACAATTCTCCCGAGAGTCAGCGATTACATCTTCCAAAGTAAAATATAAACGAGGAATCTCGAGAATCAGAGCGCGATGAAATAAATCTCTCCAAAGCGCATTAATCAATGAGAATTTTCTTCGACTAAAATAATCGGTAGATCAAAATCAATCGATCGTCATATATGTAATCAGGAATAATTTATTCTATTGATGATTAAAGATTGAGAGAAGATTAATTATCAATCAGTGTACAATAAATCACATCAAAGTTTGATTAAATCTATCCATATTAATAGTCGTCACTTGAAATTTGTTTCAAGTGAAATATTCAAACCTAAAGTTAAATGTGTATTTCTCAGTTAACTTGTGATTACAAATATAATTATATCGTATAAGTTAACGGAAAACTTCAGATCTAACTCAAAATTGTAATTGAGTATTTCACGTGAGACAAGTTTTAAATAGCGATTATTAATACGAGCCTGTGTGATTCATGGGTAATTTTAGGGACAATCAAACAGTCAATAATTCTAAGTTTCTCTCGTGTTCTGTAAAAGAAAAAGATTATAAATTGGGAGTTACAGCACGTTTTTAATAGACAGTAGAGATGTGAAATAATGAGAATCAATTTTGCCACGATTTCTTTTACACGGGGAGAAAAGTGGTATTGCCCAGGAATGACCAACAAATTACATGGCGGAAAATAGCGAATTACAAGAGGGTTAATAATTAATTTCATCAATCACTTGTGTGAATTTATACACGGCGATTGATTAATTTGGATTATTAATTTGCCGATTGTTTCAGTCAAGGATGTTAATCGATTAATGTCCAACACTGTCCCGGAGGATAACTCTCGTCGTCATTAATTCGCCGCTTAATTACGAGAAACTTATAAAATTCCCCCCAAATGTGTCGCACCCGAGTATTTTTTTCTCTTTTTCCGAGACGCGGTCGAAGCCACTCGGCGCCGAAACAACGGCTCTCGTCTATACAGATGGGAGGCAGCTACACAATGGCGTGCGATAATGAAATAACTTAATTTCGCTCCGGGGCAAACACATAGATCAAGTGAGAGGGGATGGCAGTGACAGTGGTGATTGCTCTGTTGGTGTTGGTGACGGTGGGATGGTGGTGGCGCGGTAGTCGAGAGAGCGAGCGAGTCCGACGCAAAATACGCGCTCGACCGACGAAAAGCGCGTTAAACCTCTGAGTACACTGTGTTATCCACTTTGTTAACCCGCGATCTCTTACGAGGCGCACTCTGGTGCAGAATGTATCCTCCTCAAATGGGTCGCGCCAAGCCGATTGGCTGGAGCTCGTCCGAATATCAAATAAATCTCAACGATCAAAATTCAGAGGAAGGGGGACAGGGTCTTGTATGTGAGAGAGAGTGTGTGTGTGTGTGTGTGAGAGAGAGAGAGAGAGAGAGAGAGAGAGAGAGAGCCCATCGCGTTGCATCGCGATCAAGCAAATTGATCCTTTCCGGGTGATCCTTAAAATATACCCTGATATCGATCTTCCTAAGTGCAGTTCGATAGAAACGACGAGGTCTCTAACATTGAGCGAATCAATGACAAAGATTGATGAAGAAGCGATAAAAAAATTAGACAGTCGATCGATGAAACAATATACGAAACTGACGCGGTCGTTATGCAACAAGAAGGAATCGATCGGACTTTCGCGACTCGAGCATAAGGCAAAAGTATCCTAGTTCTATATCCGACCCTGGACATTCGTTTTAGCCTTTAAATACAAATATTTAGACCTTCAACTAGAATATATGTATATATTCAATACATTTTATATTGTTGAAAGTTCAAATATTCATACTTAAAAGCCAAATCAATACGAATATCTAGGATTAAATATATGTTCAAGCGGTATTTTTGTCTTACTCCTGTGCTTTGTTTTAGAGACGCTAAAAAGTGACTTTGAGGATTCCGAAGTGAGGAGAAGAACCTACACGGATTCCTCCTTGCGCAACTATGTGAAACAAAAAGAACGGTGCACGGGAAGGTTCGTCGAAGGGAAGGAAATCCGTGGGTTCGTTTGGTGAGATCGTAGGAGCACGGGTCACGGAGCGAGTGACTGGTGCAAAGCGAAACATCAAAAGTGCATATAGTCCACAGTGCGGTGTGCAGAGTCGCCGTGTCGGAGGTGTCAGGCGACCTTAAAAGCTGATTGTAAAAGGATCTTACACGGACGAGCGACTCGGCGGCGACAATCGAGGGACAGACACAAAATCCGAATCTATATCCCGTGGATTGCTTTGCACGAAGCAGAAGAAGGCGGCCGAAGACTACAACGACGACGGCGACGACAAACAAGTCGACCAGGACGAGGATGAAGACCGCAGCGGTAGGCCGATGTTCTCCACTTGATGTGTCCACGTCCATTTGTGGGTCCCGATGGCCTCGAACTGGTCTCTTATCCCCGGTATCGCCCAATCAAAAAACCGGCAGCGTACCGTCAGCCGATTGGTCGAGCACGGCCACCGTGAGGACTGCAATTGGTCAACCGGCTCGAGTCACCCATGGTTACCGTTTGCATCAACAACATCTACGGTCGATATTCGCGGCTCTACTACTTGGTCCCGCGTACTCCTCTACGCTCAAAGTCTCGCACACACGCCGCGATTAACACCTACATAACCCCCCAGGGTGGAATTCTCGAGGTGAGGGCAACCGCTTTTCTTCGACCCCGCCGCCACCGCCGCCACCACCACCACCACCACTACCACCACCACTACCACCACCATCACTCTATGGCGGTACCTACTGCACCTTCTCTTCTCGTCTCCCGTCGCCTGAAGGGCTTCGGGGGAAACTCGAAGGCGAACCACCGTCGGCTAAGGGTCGCGAAAAGCTGGTACCCCCGCGTCCAGTGGCTGGCGTGGCTCCAACACACCTCTCAACGATGATTTTCCAAGTCGACCTACGCGACCTCTCCTTATCGCGACGGGTGCTCGCCTGGAGGCACCCGCGGCGGAGGTACGCGCGATAAGAGGTGTATTTGCGTAAGGATAATCTTGGCAATTAAGTCGAGATGGCAGACTAAGACCCGGAGGATCCTACCGGAAACGTTGGATCCCCGTAAAGGAAGCGCTTCGTGCCGTAGACTCACATTTACGGCACGTCCTTTGTACATCGAATAGCGACAAAAGATCGGGACGAATAATAAAGGGCCGAGCAATAGAACCCGGAATATGTTTTCGTCGTCGCGCACATTCGGCAATTTTGCGAGTACATACCGAATCTCAGTTCCAAAGTGTCACATAAACGACTTCGTCTTCGAAGTCTAATTGCCACTTTAGCGATTGTTGGGTTAATGGTATTAGCTTCGACTCTGGCTATGTCCCAGAATTCACTGTCAGCGTTTCCAGAGATGGAGAGAGAGAGAGAGAGAGAGAGAGCGCATCGTTCTGTCTTATTTTGAATTAAGCCGCGTGACAAAGATGCAACGATGCTGTTAGCGCTAATTGCTAATTTCGTAACGTACGCCACAAGCGCGTCATATAAATACCCAATTGCATTTTCTCATAGTGAAATGCAATTCGGTGCACGAGCGTTTCCATCTCATATTGAATAGATCTGGCGATCTGAGGATGACGATTATGTATGACGTGCCGAGTCCATCTAGAGTGACATTATTTTTGCCACGGCGCGATATCGCTTCTTAATCGCGCGCGAAGAGTCTCCGCCGTATCGCCGCGATGAAAAAAAGGAGTCGACGAGCGGATAAATCAAGTGAGACAATGGGGTCGTGTTCGGGCAAATCGACGCGTTAATGCGGCTCGTAACGGTCACTTGAACGAGGGCGCAAGATGATGCGAGAAAAAGATCTTATTAGCGGGTCGCGAGTCGAGTGTGGAAGCGAACAGGCGCGCTATTGGACGACTTCACCGTGCTGCTCTCTCAGATAGGCGAGAACATTTGTCACGTGGAGTGTCGGGGATCCCGTTCGCTCCGCACCATCGGAATCCACTCCGAGGACACGGAAGAAACGGTTATCGGGCACGACCTGCGGTATTATTCGCGACTTTGGAGAGGAACCAGAATGCTTGCGGAGCGAGGACGGGGACCCGGCGGCTATGTCCCCGTTCAACGTTCGATTATCCGCGTTATCGATCGCGCTGCTCTCGTACATCCGGCGTAACGACCGAATAGGCAGCGCGAATGTTCCGAAACAGTTCGTCCGCGATACATGCCGCGATCCGGTTACTAAAGAAACAAATATCAAACGAGGAATATGTATGTTTTGTCGAGAAATATATTTAATATACTGTTTCGACAGTTCTTATGATTTTATATCGACCTGAGACGCGATTCGACTTGATTGCGGTTTGTGGAAGCCAGCCCCCCGTGGATCAAACCTATGTCAAATCATACTTCCCTACCTATACTTTAATTCTGTCAATGGGCACTTTTCTGTATCTGATGGCTAGAAGATATAAAGTGGTCAAAGTTTCAACACGTTAATATCTTCACAATGCCTTTATCAAATTTCAACAAACTTCAAATGATTGTCCATTCAAATAAATTCTTTTTCTCAGTGTAGGTCTTTCACGTTACTGATCAGACTTTCACGATTTATTTCGTCAAGATCTATTCGGTGATGCCGAAATGAACGTCGATC